AGTCGGCCTTCCTTGGCATTATTAGATTGTGAGGTCCTGATCCCTTGTTACCATCTCTGGGCATCGTCCTCGAGGTTGTTCTAGAGATTGTCCAAGACGTTGTCCTAGGCATCGTCCTCTAAGCGTCGTCCTCTAGGCATTGTCCTTAAGGTCGTCCTAGAAGTTGCCCTAGAGGTCGTCCTCTAGGCGTCGTTTTTGAGGTCGTCCTAGAAGTCGTCCTTGAGGTCGTCCTAGAAGTTGTCCTTGAGGCCGTCCTAGGGGTCGTCCTCTAGGCATTGTCCTTGAGGTCGTCCTAGAAGTCGTCCTAGACGTCGTCCTTAAAGGCCGACGACCAGTTCGCGCTTTCCACTTTTCCCTCGCATCCTCCTCTCTCCCCTTCTGCCCTGTCCACCGCCGCCTGTTTCCTCCTCGCCCATTGTGAGGAGGATCTTCTGCCTTGCAGAATCTCGAGTCTGGTCGTCGGCCTTTAAGGTTGTCCTAGACGTCCTCGAGGTCATTCTAAAGTCGTTCTTGAGGTCATCTCAGACATCATTCTCTAGGCTTCGTCCTAGAAGTCGTCTTCCTTGAGGTTATCCTAGACGTCCTCTAAGCGTCGTCCTTGAGGTCGTCTTCGAGGTCATCCTCGAGGTCGTGCTAGAAGCCGTCCTTTGATTCATCCCAGACGTTCCTCTAGTCATCGTCTTAGACGTAAAAATAACAGCTTCGGTGGTTGTCCATCTTCACGGAAAGTGGAGGGCTCTACAATTTTTTTCGTTATAAACGGCCCATTCTGGCAAGCGCTCAGAGAGCAGCCAGCAGAGAGCACGTCACTTCCGGCGCAATAGTGACATACCTAGTTGGTCTCGGGATGAGCAAAGCTGCGGCGAGGCTGACGCCATCAGGATGCCCTAGCCATTCCATCCACTGAAGTGGTCGAAGTACGCCAGCGGTCGGGCCACCGCAACTGAGTGCAAAGCTGCTTTTGTGTGAATTTTGAGTGAGGGGTTAATCTTCTATAATCTTGTAGAGGGAAAATAGCGACGTCTGGGACAAACACCAGAGTCCCGTTAAGGGGGAATTTCCTCCTTCCTCTCTTCTCTTGTGCTGGCCGTAGAGGTGTCAAGATGACGCCAGGTACAAAGCATGTATAGTTCTAGGTGAGACAGTTATTGTCACTACCTGTCAAGGTTCCTAGATGGGCATTACAAACAAGGCTTTAGTGACATCAACCAGGTGCTCTTTGCTAATCTTTTAATTTGTTTTATAATTCCTTTTCATGTCTGTTTTAACAAGAGATCGGTGTGCCCGATGTGATACTGCTTTCTTGAACACAAATAGACCAAAAAATAAGCACAGAAATTTCTTTGTAGTATCCCTTTAAAGACATTCTGCTGGAAAAACTTTCAGCCTTTCCATTCTGGTGAAGAAGGAAGACCAGCGAAGCTGTATTATGGCGAGAATGCGCTCGTCACGTCTGTTTCTTCTTCGTCCTCGTCTGTTTTTCGCGCTGTTTCCTACAATGAATTCCACCAACTCGCCCAACTATCCATTCTTCTATGATATCAAAATCTTTCAAAGCGAATTGAATCGAATAATAAAGGTTATGAATCTAATCAAATATTTTTGAATACGAATAGTAGTTTCGAATAAGAACATATTTGAAAACAAATGTTTTCTTTTTGATGTGAATTAAGCAAGAATGCTCAATCAAAAAACACAACTGCAAAATGTTTTGAACAAACATTTATGAAAAGGTTACTTTTTATTGCAATAAGAAAAAAGTCACACATGTGACTGATAAAAAAAACTTGAAAAAAGGTCAGTCAGTAAAACACCATTCAATGAGTGAAGTTAGAGTATGTAAATGAAAGTGCAAAAGTGAAGGTGGGTCGGCAAGCCACAACGCAGTTGGAGATCGCGTCGCGGACGAACGGAGCCACGTGAGCATAAATGAAAGTACACAAGCGGTGGCGGGTTGACGGGCCACAGCAGAGTGCAAGATTGTGCGATTGTGCTGCGCAGCCAATCTGATTATGCACCATCTCTTTCCGTGCGCAATATTTCTGTCCATAGAGGGCGCCACAAAAAAACAATAAATTAAGAATATGTTTTGTTGTTTTTTTTTGGCGGAGCCTCGCTTTTACCCAGTGTTGGCGGTAACGCGTTACAAGTAACGGCGTTACCGGTAACGCGTTACTTTTTTGGTAACATAGTAACGTACTCGTTACTTTTTCAAGGAAGTAACGGGTAACATACTTACGTTACTTATTTTGAGTAACGTGTAACGAAATTACGTTACGTTACTTTACTTCCTAAAACTTAAAAAAAAAAAAATTTTAATTTTTTTTGTTTTTTAAGTGCCCAGTCATAAATTCCTTAGTCAGAAAATGCCGCTGTCCTCCACTTTTCTTTGATGTCGGTGCTCGTCAGATTTGACGTTGCACGCCATTTGCCGCTGATTGTCTCCCGCGGCTCGTTGACCTCGCTACCGCCGTCGCCTCGGCTGGAAGGCCAAAGAGGTCCGGCTTCGGGTGGACTTGGAAGATTCCTGCGTCGAAGCCTGCGTTTCGCTTCCCGCTGGGAAAAAGAATGACACCTTCGTGTCATGCCCTTTCCCGTTTTTCACGTTATAAATCAGCTTCATATATACTTCTGCATTTTTTCTTGTAACTATTTGGGTGAAATTCTAAAAAGAGAGGGTAATTAAGTTTCCGCACGGACATATTTTAGCTATGGCACTTACGCACATATCAAACGTCGAAACAGCAAATGTTTTAGTTCGTAAAGTAACGCGACAGTAACGTGCGTTACGCTTTATCATTAACGGTAACGCATTCATTTTATTTTGAGGTAACGTAGGTCAGTAACTCGTTACATTTATTTGCAAGTAACGAGTAACGTATTTAGTTACTTTTTTTCGGTAACGCATGCAACACTGCTTTTACCAGTGAAAACGGGTAGAAATAAATAACAAAAGGAATACTGGCAAACTGATGAACCGGTAAATCAAGCGGAAAATAACACAAGCCAGATATCGCTGATAGCCGAGGTGAGCCATAAATCCATATCCAAATCCATTGCACCTTGGCTACTGTAGTGACTGTAGGTATGAAATCGCGAATATATGGTTGTGCTACATTAACGGGATACTCCGGCGATTTTTTCATGGTCGCTGATTTGCCTCAATATTTGCTCAACACACCGATAAACGTGGCTGTACAAGTTCCCCAAGTATTGTGTGAAAAGAAAAAAAAAATTTGCGAAGTTATTGAATTTTCGAATTTCGTTTTCATCGTGTTTCTCAAACCGGGAGTTTCTACTGGCAACATCGAAGTGTGACGACAGAAATGGTACAAAGTGGGCAGTAAGCCATGTTCCCAACTGATTACAAGACGTTTGATGGTGGGAAAAGAATGTTTGATAACTGATTCACTGAGAAGCACGCAAAAAACACTCGACATACTCTGTTTCAGACTACATGCACAACCTGAAAGTTTGTACCATGTGTGACGTCACACCACTGAGGAGTGCACGAAAATTTGAATGTTGGTTTTGGCATCATCTTCATTTACGGTTTTCTCAATTGCTATTTTGAATTTCGAGAAAATAACTAGCACACCATGACGACTTAAGTCCCGGTAGTCAGAAAATGCAATTTGTGTAGGTAGCTTTAAAAAAGAATGTGGACAGGAAGAAATACACGGCGTCTCGCGCGGACGTTCGAAACGTCTTGTGGTCCGTCGCAACGATTCATGTGCCATTGCTAATCGTAGTCCTTCACCCTATCTAGCGCAGCGTTTGTGCCACGACCACTTCGCCAACTCCGCAATCCAGACATCATGTCAAGCAAAGGACCAGATTGTGCTACCGCAAATAACTTTCCAATGCTTCTTACAAAAAAAGAAACGAAGGCACTTAGGTTGGCTTTTTGGGTTTGCCAAGCTCGAAACCATACTAATCAGCGAGTTCCGCGTGATTCGTAGTTTTCAAAGTATTCGAAGAACTCGAATAGTTTAAACAGCGGAAGTGCGAAGCGAATCGAATAGCAAGCATTATTCGCGAAGTATTCGAAGTTTCGAATATTCACACTCCCCTAGTAGTTTTGTGTTGACATTTGTTTAGTACCGGACACGAAACTGGGGAAACTAGCCCTTAACAGTTCCACTGTAAAAAGATGTCCTTGGGCACTAACATGAAAAGTATATGAAAAGCAAAGAAAAGTGCAACCCACTTATAACAATACCACATATAACTATGTACCATTTATAACAATCAGTTTCTAGAGCTTCTAGGCTGGAAATGATCAGTTTCTAGTCCAGATGCAGCTATAATCGGTTATAACGATTGAAATTTCGAATTTTCTCATGGTTTTAAGTGAGTTGCACTGTATACCCTAAAATACCAAGGAAGCACCCACCAAAATTTTGGAGATAATCCTTGAAACTAGGGGTGGGCACTTGTTAGATCAAAGAAGAAAAGCTGCAGAGAGGCTGCAAGTATTTTCCGAATGTTTTAAAAGCACTGGATGGGCGCTTATTGTGATGGGTGCATGACTCCTATATTACGGTAGACACATATTCTTAGCAGAAGCCTTGTATTTGTTTAGTGTATACTTTTCTGCTGAAGTACACTGCTCACAGAAAGTCACAAAACTTTGAGGAAGTGGAGTTGGTGCTAAAATTTGGCAGAAATATTTTATGCCTATATTTCGTAGGTATGAGCAAGATAATTGTCACATTGTTTGATACTGTTATGGTACTGCATAACTGAGTTACAACATGTGCAACTGTGGAATGGGAATACCTTGCATAAAGCTATGAGTAGTGGTGTGATAGTAATGGAAAACTTAGTGTGCAGTAATGTTAGAGCTCACATAACAACCCAGAGTTAATGGCATTGTTTAATTGAAGTGCCTAGTATTTTGGGGAAAAAAGGGTGGGGGGGAAAGGGTGTTTTTATCAAGATCCTTTGCTTGTTTGGCATATGGTGGCCAGTTGTTCACTGCTTTGTTTCTCATCCAGGCTTGGATGGCGTCGGCCTGGAGGTGTCCAATGTGGTAGACATGAGCAGCAGGAGCAACGAGGAACTGGTCATGCGCCTCACAACGGGAGTCCACAACCTGGGACCAGAGTTTTTCACCGACGTCAATGGACTCCTGGTGAGCCTTTCTCCCACACCACTTGTTTCGCATATTTTATGCATATGCCAAGCAGTTCTCACTTGTGCCATGCATGTTTCAATAGCGTTTTCATATAGAGATGCTTTCAACCTTGATCCTTTGTGAAGTGCAATAGGAGGCTTACATTGACGTCACGTCAGCAGCAGAGCACGGCAAAAATTTCGCACGACCGAATTTGTTATTTTTGGTAAGAACAACTAGGCATGACTGCCAGCACGGTGTGTAGACATTATGGGCAAGCCATGTATATACCTAGTCAACTTTCCCCATTGTGTGTGAAGTAGTAGATGTGTGGGCTGTTTCCAGAAACGTATTAGATTTTAGTAGTCATGTGCGAATTGTGGATTTTGAGTTGGAAGCGAACAGTGGTTTTGGCCGAACACTTTCTAATTAAATATCATATAGTAGTTTCTCCAAGCCTTTCACTATTGTTGCACCATGCTTAAGAGGGGACACTACCCAGAAGAAAAAAAAATTCTGCAAAAAGAGATGATATTGCCGCGCGCGCAGCTGGCCAAGCAGGCAGCGCGCGCGTGGCCTAGCGGTTATCGCGCCTGCTTCCCACGCTGAAAGCCAGGGTTCGATTCCTGGCCGCGGAGACGCATTTTTGTTGACACTGTAATGTAAGGTTCTGGTGAATTCGAGAACCGTCTTGCTGATTCGAGGTTAGAATGTTCCACGCGCCGAACCTTCTACGCCGAACGATCCAGAATCCCACAAGGATACATAAGGGATTCCGCAAGGCGAGCGGAGTCAGTCTCGCCCCAGCGTTTGACTCTGCTGCCACGCCGACTTCGACGCCCGCGATGCTCTATTATTATCTTTTGTACTCTTTTATTTTTGGCACAAGTTCGCCTCATTAAACGCTTATTTATCCCTGTTTATTTGTTATTTTTGGTCACCACCCGTGACAATATTTCAAAGTGCCATAATTATATCCACCAACATCAAAAGAGTACTTACAGAAAGTTTTATTTGTATACACAGTATGGTTATTTTCTTATAAATTATGTTTGGTCCACCGATGCAAAAGAAAAGCTAGAGAGAGAGAGAGAGAGAAAATCTTTATTTTCGCTCCAAGTCCGGAGCTCCAAAAGCTAGAGGTTCAAGCACTTTGAACATGCTTTCTCACTTCAGAAAATCCTACCTTAATAAAACTACCGTAAAATCCCGTAAGGGCGCCCTCCCCCATGAGATCGCCCATCCCATTTTTCTGGCTAAATATTTAAAACATAAAAATTCTGAAATATCGCCCGCCCCCTATTCCCGTCAAACATTGTGCAATGTCCGACGGGAATCGCATCCACTGTGCAATTTGCGGTACCGGTACGTCTGACAACGGAGTTTCTTGCGGGTTCACGCGTTTTTATTTGTGATCTGCGCGTGTCATATTGGTTCATGTGACGTGCAAGTTGATCCCACGTGTTTATTGCATCGTGAAATGCGAGTCTGCCACGCCTGCGATCCACTTTGCACGTCTCTCGTCGACGCCGTTTACGTAGTGCCTCATTTTCGGTTGTGGTGTTGCGAAAACTCCCAGATGGCGAGGCGGCACACGCAGCAGAAGCTCACCCTCCAGGGGAATGTGTACCCAATGCCCAGCATGATGTTCATCCAAGACAACAACACGAGGCTCTCCGTCTTGTCGGGCCAGCCACTGGGGACCACCAGCCTCGTTACAGGTATGCAGGGGTCGCGCATGTTTTCCCTCCCATCTCGCGTCGACTCTGGCCATCCTTTGCATTCCGATAGCGAGCTATAGATTGTAAAGGAGTAGCGCAAAAATGAAGGTTTTTTTTTAAAGTGTGTGGTGCCATCTGGTGGCTGTTGCGTTAATGATTCGAGCGCTTGCAATACAAGCCTGGCGTGCTTGAATGTTGAACTCGCATTGCAACTGGTCGAGTCGTTTTCTGTAAAACATCATCACAAGCTGCTTCAAGATACTGATTCTTCTGCTCCTAAGCTGCTTCAAAATGCAGATTCCTCTGCTCAGAAGTTTCTCCAGAACCAGGATGATCCATCTTACCCCCTCAGGGTTCGTTTCCCCACTGACTCGAACCATGCTGTTGGGGCCGCTTTCGGACGTGCAGGGCAGGTGGACGTGTTCCTGGATCGTCGCCTCAAGCAGGACGACAACCGGGGGCTGCAGCAGGGCGTCATGGACAACCTCCGCACGCCAAGCCAGTTCAGGATCCTCGTCGAGAGGTTCGCCGCAGAGCACACGGTGAGCCCTCCGCACCGCAATGGTGGGCGGTGGGTCTGTCGGCATCTTATGCTTTCCAAGCTTTTTACCGAGACCCGATCTACGAGGGCCCAAATGCGCGGAAGTATGGCTCGAAGCGTAGCCCATTTCGGTACGAAAACCGCTGCGTGAGAATTGCCAGAGTACCGTGCCCTTGGTGCCGTCTCCCTAGACGGGCAGCGGTGACCGTCATTTGCTTTTCGTCGAGCGCTCGCCGCTCCTCTCGGGAAATGGAGCCACGAGCGCGACTTTCGGGCTCCTCGGTCGTCTGCTTCGGAGCCCATCGTCGAAATTATCAGTGGCATTGTTCTAGCGATATTTCCCAGGAACGGAGGTGCACTTTAAAATTTCACGAGGCAAACTTCACTTCGAAAATGCACTTTTTATTTTCCAGCGAGCCCCTCAATTTGTGACACCTTGCAGGGTGCTTCAGCTAACTTGTGACAAAACTTAACAAAAGCCGGTGGATGCTACGCATGTCGAACCAACATTGTATTTTTCACAATACCCTCGAGCAAGATGAGATGTTTTTTTGCGTTGTGCCAAACTGGCTAATTAACACAAATCGGCTAACTTTTTAAATGTTAATCTGTGCACAAACACTCCAGTACGAAAATTGTAAAGTGTGTTGAGAAACTTCCCGTCGTGTCATTTATATCAAGGTAGCCTTCGTGGGTCTCTATTTTTCAAGCTTTAAAGTGTGCAAAATTTAATTTAGAAAAGTCTCACGTGACTAAGGACACCAACGTGGCGAAATAGGACACCAACGTCCCAAAAAACAATTTAAAATGTCGGGCGAGATTTTTTGGTTTCCTTGAAAGCTCGAAAAAATTGCACTCACAGGCTATCCTGATGGAAATGACACGATGGGATGTTTTCAGCACTCCCTACAACTTTTGTATTGAAGGGTTTGTGCACAAATGAACAAAGTCTCTGCACAAGTTAGCTTGGACACCCTTCCCCTCCCCTGTCCCTTCCTCACACAAACTCAAGAACCACACGGCAGTTTTGACCTTAAATGGGGTTAGAACTTAGACAGGATCGAGGGATAGAACAACGCCACTTCCATTTGGCATTATCCGGCATTTCCATTCTTGGGTGGCAAAACTTCTCTGCCTTTTTGCCTTTTCACTGCCCCCCCCCCCCCCGCCCTTGCCCCCCCTACCAGAAACACACTTCGCGACTTGTTGTCCGGCTCCCTCCGTGTCGGCTTCGTGACGACCTGGCCCACCACTACAAAAGGTTGCCATCCCCTGATCTAGAGGAAAAGGTCCCACGCATTCCGGCCGCTTCAAAACTGCAGGGCATTGACGAGGACATTGGCTGTCCCGGCGGGCACATATCACCAGCAACGCCTTAATAGCAAACACAAAGAGAGAGGAAAAGAACCCCTGCGAGGTCTGTGCCTAGTTTTTTCCAAGCTTACTCTGCAGGAAAGCACCAGCATCGCGCATTGTATAAAAATACAACTCATCGCAGCAAACAAGTGTGTCTAACCTATCACCAGCTTTCTTTTTTTTTTTATTGCACTTCTTTTTGTTCTTTTTTTTGGGCTCGCCAACAACGGTGCTTACAGTTTGCCGCACTCCGCTCCCGTCTTGCTCCCCCGCCTGCAACGGTTGGCTGAAGGTGTGCGCCCGCTTGCGTGCAGAGGGAGTCGGTGCCCTCGCATCCCTCGCTGCTGGCCCACCAGGCCCTGCTGAGCTTGCTGCACCCCGTGTTCAGCCTGGTGCACGGCAAGCCCCAGGGGATGTCCGACCCGCCCCTCAAGAGCTCCTTCTCGCCCCTGGGGGGCCCCCTGCCCTGCGACCTGCACCTGCTCAACCTCCGCACCCTAGTGGCGCACAACGGGCCTACGGGGGACCCCAGGTACTGCTCGGGGGACGGTGCCCCTTCGGGCCACACAAACATTTCTTGGTTCTCGTGGGCCATACCTTGTGTACGTTACTGTAAAGTGCCAGTCAAACAGACTCCAGTTGAGCAAATTATTCGAATGAACAGACTTTCGTAAAATTCCAGTGTATTCACGTGTGTGAACTTTCGTGTAAGCAACTTGTTTCTCGAGGTCCCTCGAAGTTTCTTCAAGTGGTATTTCACTGTATCGCTTATGGAGACCATTCGGTATATGGCAGCTGATTTGCTGTCTGGGTCGGTTGTTTGGGCTGGAAACATGGCTTCTTTAACAAGTCACAGTTGTCTCTCATTTTGGTGCACGGGTTTTCAAACTGGGTTCCTGGAACTTAGCAGTTCACCGAAGCACCATCGGACATTCCCCGAGCCCCCAAATTTCATTGCTCGTCCCTACACCTAAGTAAAATTTTCTTCCAGATTTAAAAGGATCTGAGCCATTCATTGATGCATAACTATATGCTAAGCACTCCTAACTGTGTGTTTTTGTTTAAAAGGTCTATAGGCTTATGGAGACTCTAGTTTATTGCATTACTGCCAAGTTCAGGAAAGGTCCTTTTGCAAGCAATTGAGAGAGATTGGCACTTCTCAAAATAAAGAGGTTTGTAAACTGCTGTTCTACTGCACTATTTCCTCCACCTCTAAAGAGGTGGGCAAAGGGAGTCAAAGTGACACTCATCTGACTGCTTCCTGGGACAAACCGGGTTTCATCTCACTTTTCCTGGGCAACTGCTGTTTCCAATAGTAAAACTTTTATAACACGCTTGGGATAGTCGCCTTGAAGCCGTGAGTAGGACAGTGCAAACAGGGCAAGTTAGGCAGTATCCACCACTTGTCTAGCTTGTGAACAGCACAAAATCCAGTTCTTCTGTGATGTCAGTCTTGCTCGAGTTTTGTACAAGACTGTTTCTGGTGCAGGAAACCGGCCTGGACTCCTAGCAATGTAACGGCCATGTACCTACATCGACTTCCTCATGACTGCCGCCTGAAGAGCTATGCGGTGCGCTGCACTCTCCAGTCGGATTCCGTGGTTCGTGATTTGACTTTCGTTACTTTTCTTGTTTTAACAGTTAACCTCTTTTTTTTTTTTTACAGTTCCTAATAATAATTGAACGCATGTTCATTGCTTTTTAGCTTTTTTTGTGGTGAGGGTTACACCGTGCGGAAGTAGAAACATTCCGTAACTATGTTATACTTCACTGCTTTAGTTTGGATGACTGTGTCGTGCAATTGACTGAAGCTAAGGCTTGACCACTTGGAAAGGGATCCTCGTAAAGTGAATTGGACAGAAGGAATGATGCCATGATAAATTTCCCCACTTCATAAAATTAAATAAAATTTAAAAATATTCTTTAAATTGTTGTATTTTCTCAAATACTTCACACACTTTTTATAATCAAGGTCCACAATTACACTTTCCGACAATGCATACTTATTGCCAATGGACATAGTCTATGGAATGAGTTTAGTTAGTGACTAGGGCCAGAAAGTTTTGTACCCAAGCGCATGATCTTTATGCTGCACTCGATGGACCTTTTCGGAAAATCCCAAAAGGTGTTGTGGGAATCTCAGGTTGCGACGCGCGATGCTAAGAATTGTGGCGCTGATCCGATGTAAGCTGAAGCTACAGTGAGGCTCTGGCACTTTATATATCTTGGAAGCAGTTTGAACCATTCATTCTCTTCTTATCCTTGCTAGTTCGAAACACAAAAGAAAACAGAAGGGTCATTTCTCGCCAAACGATCCAGGCCTAAATTCAGCCCTCACGGATTCGGTCTAAAAGAATTGTTTATTCCACAGCTCTTAGGCGCCCGTTTCCGGCTTCTGCGGCGTCGCCGTCGGCGTAACCGTGTAGTGCATTATGGGAAATGTCCCATAATGCACCACGCAAGAGAGGAGGGGGAGGGGGGGGAGGGAGGGGGAGGAGGAGTATCAGGGAGGATGAGGAGGAGGAAGGAGGGGTATACCCTCTCCTCAGTACCCTTCCCTCCTCCTCCTGAAGAGCTGCGCTCTAATTCGGCATTAGAAGGTGTTGTAAACGTCTACACTTTTTTTTATTCGTGATGTAAAAGTATATTTTTTCAATATATTTTTGTTATAATTTTTTTGTGGAAAACCAGTCCCAAGGAGTAGTATACATAATTTTTTTTTCACAGAAAAGATTGAAACGAAACTGCTTAATAAACACAGTTTCTAGTGGGTCAATACATTATTCTAAATCAGTAGTTTTCAACCACGAAGGTTTGGGGGCCCCTTTTGGATCGGCGGAAAATATAATTACAAGGACAAAAGGATGAATAGAAAAAACTAAATACATGCAAACAAACTTTGAAGCTCTGAAACGGAGTATAATCAACCCTGCTCCCTTGACACACATGGTTTGGTCTAGTTGGCTTCTTGGGACAGCCAGTATCATTAAGGGGGAGGCACTGCCTTGGAGGGTCTACTTTTAAGTACTGGTGCTATTTGAATGAAATTGGCAGGGTATACTAGGCATGCAAACTTGGGAGGCTACACCAACTTGCAGCTAAAAAGGTCAATTTCGTGCAAAGTTACAGCCTTGTATGTAAAAAATATTATACAGCTAGTAGTGCCGAGGGAAAAAATCTATCGTTACAAAACAGTACCGAAATGTCACAATTTGTTTGCTTGGATATAAGGACGAGTGACTAGACTACTAATCGGTAGTGGGCTTCAAATAATTTTCAGGTGCTATATTTAGCGTTAAAGTAAACTTCAAAAAAGGGGTTAATTTCATTCATTTTTCTACTGTTACAAAAGTCTACATTTTCTCGCTAAAGAAATAACAATCTTGAAAAAGTAAGCACATAGTCGAGTTGTCCAGTAAATTTCACTCCAGAAAAACCGCACCGCAGTTACGAAGGTACTTCAGTCGTGGAACAACAGTTTTTTAGCAGTGAAAAAATGGCTGGAAAAAAAGCTGAGGAAAACGCGTTTGAAAATCCATATTGTGTTTCACTTTAGATGGAACTTGCCACTTGACCTAAAATGCTCCAGGAGCATACGTCAGTCTCTGCTCTGGATTGTCCTTCTGTGCTTTGGCCACAGCTTCCACCTTTGTCTCTTGCACAATGCCTCGGAGCACTCGAGTGCCTTCACTTGGGCTTTACAACCTTCGTCCGAGGGACCTTCACGGCCTGTGATGTCTGGTGGCTCCCTGGCTCAATGCCCATCTCCAAAAGAACACTCGAGGACCCAGGTTGAAGACTGCAAGAGCCATGGCACACTCAACAGTACTTAGAAAAGCGACCTTTGAGCACCTCTTCCAAATCAAGGTGCTGAAAGAATCATTCGCATTCTGGGTTTTCATCTGGGAACATCTTTCAATCCAATTCCTCCGTGACAGGTGGTTGTACAAGGGCTCTAGCTTCTTTGCTATAATCTCCCTGGAGAAGGCTGGCTTATGTGGCCGAGTTTCTGGTGATTCTCCCGCTTTCTCGTGGGCCTTGCTTCGGTTCAAGTGGCACCAGGAGTCCGTCCCAGTGGAACAAGCAATCTGAATTGGCTCCTCGTCGGAGGGGTGTGAACGGAGGAGACTGGCATACACTCCACGCTGCATGGAGTATAGGGTTGCGTGGCAGGTTTGAGCGAATCAGAGTTCCTTCTTTTTGAGTGTGGCCAATAAGAGACCGTGCAGTGTTGTTTTCTATGGGTCTTCACGTTTGGTGCGCACAATGTCTCGCAAGGAGGTCTATACCAAAAGAAGGAGGGTTAAGCACTCATTCCAATGAGGGGTGCTTGTCTGCACTAGGCCTAATGAATGCGGAGCAAGCGCACTTTGAGAATGGCATATTTGTGCGACTGCGAGTGTTTTTACAAAGCGCGCTTGGCCACTGGTACGTCCAAAATAATTTATTTCAGAGTAAATACTTTATCTACAGGAATAAATCTTTTTGATGGCATTCTTCAGGAGTTATACAAGCTGATAAGAACATTTTTCAAAAACACAAATTAAAAAAAAAAAATGTGATTTTAAGGTTGTGCCTTTCCCTCCCTCCCTCCCTCCCTTAAAAGTTTTATCAGCTTGACTGACGGCCAAGGGCTTCGTGGACCTTAAGGAGGCCTCCAAGGACCCCAAAGGGTCAGCGGACCTCATTTAAGAACCACTGTTTTAAATTATCCAAAAGGTTTCATCACGCATGTTAGTTTTTTTAAAGGGTAGAGATACGTTAAAAATGTCCTAGAAAGCTGATATTCATTTTTTTTATTTTCAAAAACATGCTACTATAATAAAACTTAAAACTTGTGTGTGTTAGTAGCAAGGGAAACAAACCATATTTTAAAAAACGTTCAGCCTTTCCACTCTCGTAAAAAAAGGAAGACCAGCGGAGCTGTACTCGATACACTACTGCAACACGCACGCGCCCGTTTCCCGCATCTTCTTGTCCAACATGCCGCCGATCGTGGATGCGTCTCCGGCAACCCAGAGTCGGTCGCACACGGCGCACGTGATGCCAAACGGGTAATCCACAAACACCCTCCGGAACATCGCCGTCGCGCCTGGGAACTGTTCAGCCGGCGTGGAGTGCAGTCGTCGCCGGGCTTCGCGCTTGCGCTTTACCTCCGTGGCACAATCGTCGTCCATGGCGTTGGCCCGTTGGCACCCTTTACATCGCTGGTTCTGTTCTCAGCGGCGGCTTTCCAGGCGAGCGATGTGCTCTTCTTTGGCAAGAGAATCTGAAGCGCTCGAGGCAGTGGAAGTTGAGGCGACAGCGGCTTTGCGGCGGTTGCAAACCCATTCCCGCTGCTGCGTATGTCGCCGCTCCTTCCGCAGCCAGTCTTCTTTCCCCGAAAGGGCACGCGGCTGACCCATCCTGGGTCCAAACCGAAACTGATAAGAGCGTAGGAAACAGCGCCCAAAATAGGCGAGGACGAAGAAACATATGTGACGAGCGCTGCGCTCGTTACGTGTGCTTCTTTTTTGTCGTCGTCCGTTTTTCGTGCTGTTTCCTGCGATGAATTCCCACCAATGCGCCGCCCAACTATCTATTCTTCTATGATAGCTGGAAAGGTTGGCGCCATCTGCCAGCGACGGCGGCAACCATACTGATTGTGTGCTTGCCGCCGTCGCTTATAGATGGCGGTAGCTGTCCAGAGGCATTTTTGTCGACAAGTGTTTTGTACCAGACACGATCCTCGGGAACCTAGCCCTTAACAGCTCCGCTGTAAAATGTTTTGGTAAAAATTGAGGTACTGTGTTTCCTAAAATAAATGGCCAGTATTGAGCATTTAGCCACTATAAATGCTCAGTATTAGCATTTAGCAGGGGAAACAAACCATATTTTAAAAAAATGTTCTGGTAAAAAATGAGTCACTGTACAAATAAATGCTCAGTATTCAGCATTTAGCCAAAAATCTAGTTTTCAAAAAAAAAGAAAACTCATGAAGGTCTAAAAATATATACTCTACGGTTATGGATAGTATAGAGCCCACGTTTGTCCCGTTGCAGGCTTCCTTGGCGGATCTTTTTCCGGACTACTTCGGCCCGACCGTGGAGGAAACAACTCTCTCCCTGCTCCACAGTTTCACCTCCACAAACACCAAGACTGCCCGCCTCAGCTTACCTCCTCCTGCCGAGATAGCGGCCTACAAGCTCCAACGCCGGTGAAACGGGAGAAAAAGGAAAACGGCCGAGGAGGGCACGCCCGGGTCGTACCGAGGTCGCCGCGTTTTCCAACTTGCTGCCAAAGAAAAGTGCCCGGCGCGTGCCATGACTGACGCAGTTCAGGCAACCCAAGAGAGCTCCTTGGGTTCACAACGGTGGGACCATTGTGAAAGGGGGGCTTTGGCACCTTTGGTGACCCAGAGCAGACACTCTGTGGCCGCCATCGGAGACGCCGAGACGACGTGTGTGTACCGAGAGCCAACGAAACGCGGGGTCGTTCGCGCCACCGCTCGTTCCAGCCTTGCCATCTTTCGTTCGGTTGGGGCGCAGTTGGGGTTTGGCAATCCTACGCCGCGCCTCGTTTTAGTGCAATTTTATTTACAAGATACTTTTTTTTGAACTGTTGGAGTGTATTAAGGTACTAGTTCTGGTCGTGGGGCTGCTTGGGGAGGGGCTGGTTCGTCTGCAGCTACTGCTTTGTCCCCACGGAGCGTGATGCGTTGGTGGTAGGGTGTCTTCATTGTGTCCTCAGTTTGGCATAGGTGGACTTAAACGCCGAGGGGGTGGAGCCGGTTACTTATGTAGTACCTTTGAGTATCGCAAACGAGGCCAACCGAGCACTACTTAGGAGCACTTTGCCCCTTTGAGCTCGAGAGGGCGGAGTACAAAAGAGCCTCGAACGAACTGCGGGGCTCAGTGAACGAGCAGCTTGAAATTTAGGAACCGATAAACCCCTGTGAGCATTTCTAGCTAGAAGTACATTTTTAAAGAGTGTTTTTAGTGTGAAGGAAATAGGATGGAGCTTTTTTGCTTTTATATATTTGCAGTTGGTTGATTTGTCACATTGGGCACAAAAGCCTCGGGATGCGAATATATGTCTGGCTGTTTTGTTTCTAACTGGGTGAAGTGTGCCATGTAGTAGTATATCCTGAATGTACATGTGCAAAGCGCTTCCTCAGAGCAGCTGTGTTCACTTCGTCGAGCTTTTCAGTCACGACAGTTCACGAGCGTAAACGTCTTCCATAATTCCAGATTTGTGGAGGGTAACACGACCTGCAAATAGAGACATTCTACGCACCTTGTTACATCCGTTAATTCAAGTGGTGTTGCATGTTCTCGGTTGTTTTTGAGTGTTTGAAGTTTTCCACCGTGCTCGTTGAAAACCTGTTTTTCTGTCAGGATGCACACACATATTATGTTTGTGTCATTTGAGAAAGAAAGAAAAACCAGACCACCTAATTTTAGGGCAAGGAGGGTATAACATGGATGACCTAGAGTGGCTGTAATAACTGTAGCAGGTTTTGAGACTTGTCTGTAACTAGAAATGTGAACACTTGGCAGTTTGCACATCACCGGTTCTTCCACTTGTGAAGAGCATTGCCACACCATTCCATTGCCACAAATGGCAGCCCGTCGACTGATCGCGATCATTCCACGAATATCAACGGTAACTTAGGGTGTTAACAAAAGACAGCTTTGCTGTCCTTGCATTGTACATATTAATAAAGATATTGCATTCTCTGGATGGATGCCAGGATGAGTTGACAAGGAAGTGTTGGTGCCTGCTCAGTTCTTCACCACTGGCAACATTCACAGCAGTTGTGCTTAGCCATTTCTGGTCACTGAAGAAACCATGAAAGACTTCTTTAAATGCATAGCATTCATAGGGCCAGCCTTGGGGATTTCATGTCCACAGATGTAGCCTCGGTGATGTTACGTGACACTGTGAAGCCATGCGACACTATGACAGTAGTGTGACATCATGTTGCGAGATCCTTACAATGTGTCCTGCAGTGGCCTCTTTACTGTGCCTGCAAAAGGAGGAATGTGGTAAGTGCTCTGGATTTAGAATGCCTTTAAGAAACGCCAGAGACAGCCAGCCGTTTTCTTTTTTAGTTAGACTGGTACCCCAAATAAACGGTGAAGTGTGGGATAGGCATCATTTTTTGTTTACAGAATCGAATTTTCTGATAAACAAGCCTCATTCATAAGGCGTAAATTTTTCATTTCTTTAAAACCATACTTTTTTCCAGGCATCGGTTCGTCATGCTAGCTTGTGTTGTGTACTAAGCTCCTGCATATCACAAAAAAATTGTGATGTGACAGTCGCATAATCTTGACAAGGATCATCCGATTTCTTTACAACCAGTTTTTACAGCGAAGCTGTTGTGCGTTAGAATCTGGGAAAAAATGTGTCCATGGATGTTGACAGAAAACTACCCATTGGTCGTGGCAAGTATGAATAAACAAAAAAAGGAGGGGGCACCCACCGTGAATCGGCTTTCCTTGGCATTATTAGATAGCGAGGTCCTGATTTCTTGTTATCATCTCTAGGCATCGTCCTTGAGGTCGTCCTTGAGGTGATCCTAGACGTCGTCCTGCAAGTTGTCCTCAAGGTCGTCCTTGAGGGTCATTCGAGAGGTTGTCCTAGAAGTTTTCCTTGAGATTGTCCTAGACGATGTCCTCAAGGTCATCGTCGAGGTCGTCCTAAAAGTCATCCTTGAGGTAGGTTTAGACATACAAATAACAGCTTTGCTGGTCCTCCATCTTCACGTGAAGTGAAAGGGCTCTGCAATTTTTTTTAGTTTGGTGGTTCTAATACAATAAAGGACAGTACAAAGTACCCGTTTTCAAACCAACAGTGAGATGCCGTTTTAAAAATCTGAGGTATGAACGTTCTTTAAGAGTAATTGTAGACTATTACTTTTTCAAATGTGTACAGGACTGCTGATTTCTTCAAGACAGTGTTTCTCAACCAGCAATGTTTCACAAACACCTTGTAGATCCGCAGAGCCCGTTTGTGGTGAGGGGGAGAGAAATTAATAGGTTAATTATAATAATTAGTTAATAAGGTTCCCGGACATTTCATCGAATCGCTGACGGCCGTTTCATCGAATGTCTTTTATATAAAAAAAAAAAAGTGTGAAAGATGCTGTTTTATGCATTGATCGAGTGCATTTTTGTGTAATTCACCCATTTCATCGTCGGGTTTTTTGATGTCCAAACTTGTAGCTGTTACAATTTATTTTGATGCAAGTAACCCATGAGGATATTTGTACCGATTTTTATGTTTGTTTCGCATATTGTGCTTATCTGTTCACCCCCTCTCTATTACCCAATGGGCCTGGAGGGTATATTAACAAATCAATAAAAAGTCGCACTCCCGGTAAGAGCGCACTCCAACTCATGGAGGCCAGAAGGCGACTTGGGTTTTGCGCAGGCGCAACAACTTTAGCCATGTGAGCCTCCTATAGCCTCTCATGTCTTTCTATTGATACTTTTTTTACTGCCCGAAGCTTGCAGTAGCTAAAGCTGATGTGCTACTTATGAAACTACAACGAAACATTGTATTTTTAGTTCTAAGACTCAATGAAGTCAAAAGTACATCACTTCAAATTTTATTTGAAAACTTTCGGGGGTTCATGTGTTCGTGCGACAGCCATTCATTGTTTCAAATGATGAGCAATTGCTCTCAAAAAGTCCCCCACAGCCATGCTCCGTCTGTTCTCATAAAAAAGGCGGGCCTTCTCATTTCTTGCCGTTATGGCCTTCTGGCAAACAGGCTTTTGGAAACTCAGCATCGCCTCCAGCTTGTCTTCCGTCAGTTGATGTTCTGCGGCGATGCAAGTCAAAAACTTCCAGAACTCGGGATGGGCACCTCCGACCAGCTTTAGGAAGCGGGAATGCAACCCTGGCGTTCGATAAGATGGCGTTCAATAAAACAACATTCGATGAAACGGCTTCGATGAAACGGTGTTCGATGAAACGGCGTTCGATGAAACGGCATTTGATGAAACGGCTTCGACGAAACGGTGTTTGATGAAATGTCCGATCCCAACTTAATAAAGGGATAAAACTAGGGGCTAGTGGGAAGTAGACTTCTCTGATTGACACACACACGAGAAAACTCACCCGAACATTGGAACGTTTCTTCTCAATCTCAAGAAATACCGGGCTTAACTGATGAGGCAGAGCTTCGTGGACCCCTAGAATGCCTTTACGGATCCCCATTTGAGAACCACTGCTCTAAGACATCTCTGTCGTCAAGGTTAGCATGTACAAGTAAAAATGCACAAAAATATGCAAATTGTGGCGAAGTGCAGTTGACTCTCATTACATCAAACTCCAAAAAGCCTCAAATTTTGTTTGAATCATCAGAAAGTCATCTAAATATGATGCAAGAAAAAATTGTTATATGGATGGCCACATAAACAAAGCAGATATTTAACGATTTCCTCTACACAGGCCTACTAATAAGCAGGTATGCGAGACATAAAACATTGGTGAAATGTTTATTCATCCCTCAAAAATGTTGTGCATCATGAACTGTAGTCCCGTTGAGCACGCTTCTTACCGAGCCCCTGTGCACTGCGAAAAAGCAACACCCGCGGAAGCGAGCTCCACGGGTGTTGCTTCTCCGCAGTGCACTTGGTACGATGTTTGAATTAAGCGGCTTATAAATACTTTCAAAACATAGCGGGACAACCAAAATTTTGAAATCAGTTTGAATTAACTAAATGTATGAAGTATATATCAGAGTTTGAATCATTGAGAGTATAGATTATGGGTTCTTGAACCGGGTTGCCCAGAGTACTCTCATGGGCCCCCAAATTTCCTTGACTGTTCCTCCCTCTGAATACTGCAAGTTTTTCAAGTCGCTATTTTAGCAGATCTGAGCCACCATAACTAGCACGAGCAAAGCAGTTCCTACTGAGCACACTGCTGTTTACAAGGTCTGTAGGCTTCTGCACCGCATTATTGCCTCAATCCCGAATTTGGGAGGGGTTCCTCAGCCGTCAATCAAGAAAGAAAAGTTTGTCGAGGTAGAAAACCCCTGGTATAGCTAATTGGAAAACCTAACTGTTCACTAGAAATGCTGTAGCTTTTAGCCATTACTTATTAATGACGGCCTATTTCTTATGTAGGTATTTTTTAATCCCTTTGCCGGGGCAGCCGCCCCTTGGTCCTCTCCTCCATCGCAACTCCTCTAATTATTGCGTCCTCCTCTACAAGGGGTGGCTTGACACGGGAGACACTCACTTGATCGAATGACGTTTTAGTGAACGCCCACGTTTCACCGAATGACGCTTTAGCGAATAGTCTGACGCCGCGAAGCGGCGTTTTCGGGTGGGCCAAATGGGTTCACATTTTTGTAATGAGCCGCTGCAGACTGTTGCCGCGAAGCGGCGTAAAGCGCAGCGCGGCGGATGGGTTAACGGGCGCCCCCGGTTATTCGCTAAAACGTCGATTCGCTCAAATGTCGCTGTTCGCTAAAATGTAATTCGCTCATGTGATATGGACCCGGCCTTCTTCACAAATCCTCGCGAGAGAAAGGAACTAACTGGAGAGGACACCACTGAATAGAAGCGGCGGGGCACCGAGGCTCGGCGTGTCTGTCGTGCCCATGAGACACCCAAATAGAGAGAATGGAATGTGGTCTTCAAGCAAGGCATGAAGTTAATGCTGTTGCCATGACTATGGTACATCTCTGTTAAGTAAAGGACTAAAAACATGAAAGTAAAAAAACAAGACATCTTTATTGAATAAAAATGTGCACACATTTGATGCTTAGTTACTCGCTACAAAGTTTGTCTCAATATAATCGACGGAATATGGCCTTCATTGAAGACGAGCAATGCTCTCGCATTACAACATGGTCTGGGGCAAAGCATTGGAGGAACACAGCCCCATTTTTTTTTAGCTAGTGTCTCTCATCTTCGATCGTATGCGCGTTAAGAAAACACAAAATACAGGTCATAAAAGAAACAAAACGAAGTGAGTTTAAAATGCAAACTGACTGCCACGAGAGAATATAAAATCTTGACCATATGTTGGCACTGAAGATATGGCACCTCTAGCTGTCCCCGTCGCATTAAATAGGGTTAAGCAGCTAAAAAAATACTTTTTTAAAGTGTATGGGAAGAGCCCAGTTTAATGAGATCAAGAGAAATAACGAACCGGTTCATTTTGTTCTCTTTTTATCAGAGTCCGAGGACAGGAAGGAACAATTTTGGGAACCTGCTTTAGTGTTCACCTAAAAGTCACTCCTATGCAGCTTGCCTTGAAACATACTAACGTGCAGCTGCTTCAGTGTGACACAAAGCCATGCTACCTGCTCCATGAAAATTATTTCCAGACTATATTTCTGAGTCATCTGTGGATGCAATTCCCAGAAAATGTTCTTTATAGCTGCCCGATTTTATGAAGTGGAAGTAGCTTAAGTAACAAAACCGTGACCTCTCGCATCTAGCTCGACCTTGCAACTTCTGAATGCACACCACCAGACAAACGACTACCATTCATACCAACTGCTACAAGAGTCTGTTCTTCTCTTCTTGACATTCTTTGAACAGTAGAATTAAAAAGTGAACTGTTTCCCTAAATTGCCAAGTCATTGCCCATTAACTTCCATTTACTTAGTCATCAAAAAACCGCACAGGACAAGTGCATAGTACATGCATTTGTTCTACATCAACGTAAAACATAGGCTACACTCAAGTTTCACTCCAAGTCATTTTATAGATAACACCACCAAATGCTGGAAGTCCAAATGATGGTGGTAGACCTGTGGTACAATATACTTCCCATAGCACGCAATGCTGGCAAAAAGAAAAATCCAAGCAGGGTGTCTACGAAAAAGATGTTTTCAAATTCATGGACTTTCTTATATTTTCCCTGACTATTTTATCAAAACTTTCTGACCAACCCCTAAGAAGGCAGGACATGTATGAGGTGCAGTTGCTATGTAACTGAAACACTCGTATGTCCAAGGACCAACACTGGATCCCACTACCTTGTCAGTTTGATATTTTTTGCTGAGAAAACATATTGGGGCAAGTAGAGAAGTTAGTCATTTGCAGCCATCCAGAGAAAGAAAAGCCCAATTTCCCTGACCGATGCTGACTCTGCTGGAAATTCCCCAACTTTTTCTTGACCTTTCCAGGCTTGACACGTTCCCTGACAGTTCTCAGTTTTCCGGGGATAGACACCCTGCCAAAGAAATGCCAGAGTTCCTCCCCGCTTGCACTTCGCCTGCGACGCCATGCAACCGCAGACATACCACCGTTCCCAAGACTTGCAGCCTCGGATAACCTGAAACGTTTGCTACAAGTACAGGCGGCTAAAAATCGGCCCACCATGTTTCACTCAGCTTGCTAACTTTGCAAACTCCCTAGCAATGGAAAGGGCAGCCTCTTTATAATCAGCGTTGCTAAGGTTTCCGATGACGGCTACGATGACGCCGCGCGGCAAATCGTTGCTCCGGTTTCGCTCCGCCACCGTCATCCATCTGCTCGCTTCATTTGGAAGCACAACCAGTGCGGAGGTGCCTCCGATAGAACTCCCCCCGTGGTAGGCAACAAACGGCGGCTCCTCCAAGCACCCGCCGTACCCAGGTGCAGTGGCGGCGAGGGTCCAGCCCATGCCGTAGTCATAGCGGCCGGAGCGCGACCACATCCCGCGTGACCTTTCGTGAGGGGTCCAAAGGGCACGGACAGTGTCGGCCAGGAGGTAGCCACTCTTGTGGGAGGGGTCAGCCTGGGCGCTGTACAGCATGGCGTTGCCGAAGAGGACCAGGTCGTCCACGTTGGACAGCAGGCCTCCCCCGGCCCACTTGTACGAGCTGTCCACGCAGGGGCTGTTGGCCAGGCAGCCGTTCTGGTTACGCATGTAAAACCTGGGCACGAGAGCGGCACCGTTGGCTCAAACCAGGTAGATTAACCAGAGTGTCTAGCAAATTATCATTTTGAAATTCCCTGCCTTTTACAGGTTTTCCCTGACAGTTCCAGGTTAACCCTGACAATTTCAGGTAAATTCCCTGACCACTGTAAAGGTGGTTAAATATATGAGCCCATTACAACACAAGGCATTGAACATTGAGCATTGTGAGGATAATTTTGCACGGGCTTAATCCAACTTGCACATTCCTAAATATTCGGGTTCATCCAGTCCGGATTAAACGAGCACTTTCTTGCCATCGACATCGTCAGTGAGGAGGCCGCTTCTGGAAACACGATGAAAGCACAACGCTCAACCGCACACGTCAATAACCAAGTGGCAGCATGGCCGCCAGATGCACACTTTCGGATACTTTCGGCTTGAGGCTTAGAATCTGCGGCTTTCCAATTTGTTACTAAATCTAGAAGCTCTAACTGTATACAGTCTAGTGTTGTGCTCTCAATCCAATCCAATCCAAGGCTTGGACTGGATTTGTCAGTTGTTCCATTTGCATCGGGTAGCACACTCTACATCAAGTGAGCAGAGTCCGCGCTCCGCTCTAAGCAGTATTTATTGCCTATTTTTCTGCCCCTAAGTTCTCAAGTCAGCGCAGGGCACTCGATGGTGTTTTCAGCTCATTTTCCCTGACTGGGCTCGCTTTTTGACAATATCCTTGACAATTCCCCAATTTTTCCCAGTAATTAAAATTTCCCTGACTATTCCCGGTCGCTAGACACCTTGAGTAACTGTATCTCAGCTCCGCTTGCGAAGGAGACTATTGCAATGGTCAAAAACATTGGACTCCAAATATCGGAGCAAAGCGACCATCACTCTTGCAGGAGACTCCATGGGTGCGACAACTTGAGGTGGCAGTTAACCGCGCATGCACTATCGTGCATTTGCCAGGTCCCTCAAAAGCACACATGCTGCGTCATTAATTGTCTTATTGTCTGCTCGTACACGGCCACTTTGAGAATGGCGCTTGCATTATAAAAAGAAAACAATTACGCATGTCTAAGCAGTATACACAATGTCCAAAGCTCCCCAAGAAGGTTTCTGCTCTTCAGACTTCAAAGTAAGATCTACAGTTCATGAACACAGAGCAAAACACGTCTCGCTCCAAACCCGGTGCTTTGAAAGGCGGCTTCCCCACAAGCACAAAAGCAAAGCTTAACGTATGCAACTCCTTTTCCACCAATGAGGAGTTGGTGGCAAAAGGAAAAGGAGCGCAATACTCCCCTCCTTTTAGTTACACTAGAACCGGGCAAAGAGCAGCTCGGCCACTTAGGGGTTCCGTTCGATTGAACGAGTTGCTGACGTGGTGACGCGGAATGTGTTGTAGGGCTGGGTTTCGTAAGAAAACCGACACGCTTGACTGACACACAGGTCACGTGACGTCAAGACATCAAGTTTGGGTGTCATGACTGGGGATGTTGCAAACCTGCGGAGGTTCGAATTCTACGAAGTTAGACTTTTTCTAAATTCTAACACGAAGTTCGACAAAAGTTCAACTAAAGTTTGACTACCGCACATATGTGCAAAACTTTGGAAAAGAGCTGGTGCTTCTTGGCAGAGGAACAGCGCAGTATTTGCTCATGTTAATGAACAAATTAAAACATTAAAAGTACACACCTTTACTTTTATATTATCTAAAGCAGGGATTCTCAAACTGGGTTCCGGGGAACACAGGGGTTCCGCGAGCATTGAAATTGCAGTATCCCCCCCCTGGTTTAACCTTGTACGGACTGAGCCATGGATCAAGCTCGTGTTGCAGGCAAAGCACCTTCACCTTTTGCACTAATGTATTTTGCATTGTGCCCCAGGTCAACCCCCCTGCCTTCTCATTTTGTCTGTAGTCCTCTATTTAATGTAATTCTGTCGGTGCAATACACTCTTGTTTATTATCTAAAGGCCTTTATTGCCCGGTATTTTCGGTTGGCGAAAACGGGGGAGGGGGGTTTTGGAGTTTTTGATGCTTGCTGGGGTTCCCTGGGGCAAAGAAGTTTGAGAACCCCTGATCTAAAGAATAGTAATCATTTTATAAAATATAAAATAAACTACGGTACTTTATAAATTGGCTGATTCACAATATTCAAAATTATTGTGTAGAAGTCAGGCAACACTGTCTATAATTCGAACCTTGTGAGGGAAAAGATCGGCGCAGCAAGTACAACCAGTATGCAACGGAATAGCGCCAACTACCAACCAGGCCGTCGGAGAACCCAAGGTGGTGGTGGACAATGTGGAAATGGATACCACAAGGCAATGGTTAGAGGACTACAGGGGCAAAACTATAGGGAAGGCAGGAAGAATACTGGGGTATCAGCAACTCCACAAACAAGTCAGTCGATACCCCTGAAGCTTCAGGGGTATCGAGTGACTTGGTTCTGGAGTTGTTGCATTTCTACCTCTGGTCAACCTACGTTGCCTACGAGGGTCAACCTACATTGCCAACGAGTATTTACTTGCATAATAAACGCACCCCCCACAACGGGCATCAATATTTTTACCTTTTTCCCCCCTCCTATAATCAACACACCTCCAATTTTCGAATCCGCGAGTCTCGAATTGCGTCCAATTTAGCAAGCCATCAAGCCAGTTTTCTTTTGCCGCCAAGCGGCCAAGCCAAGTCAAGCAAGGCAAGGCCGCTCACGTCACACTCACAGTGGCTCACGTTACGGCCGCAAATGCGTAGTTGCCGTAATTACGGAAGTGATCAACCGTGAGATGCACATTGCCAGTGGCATACCAACTTGATTTTGAGTGGGGGGCAAACCAGACCCCCTCCCTCCCTCCCTCCCTCCTCCCCCCCCCCAGTGCCGGGGGCGGTGCCCCAGGTATCCCTGTGGCACCGCCGGCTAGTGTTTGCCCTGCCCAGTGGCAGCTGTTTCAGAGTGGGCAAAACACATGCCTTGCCCCCCCCCCCCCACTTTGAGAACAGGGGGGGCAAGAGCCCCCCTTGAGCCCCCCCCCCTCCCCCCCCCCCCCCCCCCCCCCCCGTTGGTATGCCCATGCACGTTGCACTGTAAGCTGAGAGTGTCTGGTAGCCTCTCCGTGAACGAAACTTGATCTGTGCGAGCGGGCTTCAGCAGTCGGTCGGCCGTTGGACTTCGTACGAGTACCTGTCTCCGTGAACGAAACTTGATCCATGTAAGCGGGTTTCAGTGGTCGGGGGTTGGACTTCAAACAAGTTCTTATACGCTTAGTCGCGGATTATACCTGAGCGTGCGGTCGGGAATTGAACTTCGTACGAGTTCTTATACGCTTAGTCGCGGATTATACTTGAGCGTGTGGTCGGGAATTGGATTTTGTACGAGTTCTTATACGCTTAGTCGCGGATTATACCTGAGCGTGCGGTCGGGAATTGGACTTCGTACGAGTTCTTATACGCTTAGTCGCGGATTATACCTGAGCGTGCGGTCGGCAATTGGACTTCGTACGAGTTCTTATACGCTTAGTCGCGGACTATACCTGAGCGTGCGGTCGGAAATCGGACTTCGTACGAGTTCTTATACGCTTAGTCGCGCATTATACCTGAGCGTGCGGTCGGGAATTGGACTTCGTACGAGTTCTTATACGCTTAGGCACAGATTATACCTGAGCGTGCGGTCAGGAATTGGACTTCGTACGAGTTCTTATACGCTTAGTCGCGGATTATACTTGAGCGTGTGGTCGGGAATTGGATTTTGTACGAGTTCTTATACGCTTAGTCGCGGATTATACCTGAGCGTGCGGTCGGGAATTGGACTTTGTACGAGTTCTTATACGCATAGTCGCGGATTATACCGGAGCGTGCGGTCGGAAATTGGACTTCGTACGAGTTCTTATACGCTTAGTCGCGGATTATACCTGAGCGTGCGGTCGGCAATTGGACTTCGTACGAGTTCTTATACGCTTAGTCGCGGACTATACCTGAGCGTGCGGTCGGAAATCGGACTTCGTACGAGTTCTTATACGCTTAGTCGCGCATTATACCTGAGCGTGCGGTCGGGAATTGGACTTCGTACGAGTTCTTATACGCTTAGGCACAGATTATACCTGAGCGTGCGGTCAGGAATTGGACTTCGTACGAGTTCTTATACGCTTAGTCGCGGATTATACTTAAGCGTGTGGTCGGGAATTGGATTTTGTACGAGTTCTTATACGCTTAGTCGCGGATTATACCTGAGCGTGCGGTCGAGAATTGGACTTCGTACGAGTTCTTTTACGCTTAGTCGCGGATTATACCTGAGCGTGCGGTCGGCAATTGGACTTCGTACGAGTTCTTATACGCTTAGTCGCAGATTATACCTGAGCGTGCGGTCGGGAATCGGACTTCGTACGAGTTCTTATACGCTTAGTCGCGCATTATACCTGAGCGTGCGGTCGGGAATTGGACTTCGTACGAGTTCTTATACGCTTAGGCACAGATTATACCTGAGCGTGCGGTCAGGAATTGTACTTCGTACGAGTTCTTATACGCTTAGTCTCGGATTATACCTGAGCGTGCGGTCGGGAATCGGACTTCGTACGAGTTCTTATACGCTTAGTCGCGGATTATACCTGAGCATGCAGTCGGGAATTGGACTTCGTACGAGTTCTTATACGCTTAGTCACGGATTATACCCGAGCGTGCGGTCGGCAATTGGACTTCGTACGAGTTCTTATACGCTTAGTCGCGGATTATACCTGAGTGTGCGGTCGGGAATCGGACTTCGTACGAGTTCTTATACGCTTAGTCGCGCATTATACCTGAGGGTGCGGTCGGCAATTGGACTTCGTACGAGTTCTTATACGCTTAGTCGCGGATTAAACCTGAGCGTGCGGTCGGGAATCGGACTTCGTACGAGTTCTTATACGCTTAGTCGCGGATTATACCTGAGCGTGCGGTCGGGAATCGGACTTCGTACGAGTTCTTATACGCTTAGTCGCGGATTATACCTGAGCGTGCGGTCGGGAATTGGATTTTGTACGAGTTCT